ACGGGCGTGACACTGAGGGTTGCAATCCATTGCCGGACACGAAAAAAGACAAAAAAAAAAACAAAAAAAAAAACTGCTTTAGTTGTGTGATGTCCAGCTGGGGAACTTTATTCTGACACCTAATTTGTTAGAACCCTAGATCTAGTATTGATTTTCATGTGTCCTCAATCTTGTTGCTTAAGAAATTAGAGTTGGGTTTTTGTCAGTTGTGATGGAAAACTAATATAAATGACAACATATTTGTCTACTCATGGTGACCTCCTGAACTTTAAAAATTAAGAACACTTACTACTTACACTTTTCATATCTCTTATATAAGAAATACAAGGGTAATTCAAACAGTTCATGGGAAGATTCATATTATCTTTTCTTTTTTTCCACAAACATTGAAATACCCTTGTAGATTAATCCATTTTAAATCTCATTCTATTAAACTTATCTAATATTCCTCATCAAAAATTTCATATACACATCACTTCCCAAGAGTGAATTAAACACATGAATTATTTCTCATTTAAAAAGAAAGATATTTGAAGGGCTTGCTGGTTAGCTCACTCTGTTAGAGCAATGGTGCTGATAACCCCAAGGTCAAGGTTTCAAATCCCCATACTGGCCAGCTGCCAATAAATAAATAAATAAATAAAAAGAGGCTGATTAGTACACATTTATAAGGGGACTGGATAATTGCTCAGATCATAAGCTAAATCTAAAATATCTGTTCCTAAATTTTTATAATTATCATGTTTTATTCTTTCTTTCTCGATTAGTCACTAAGATAGTAAGAATTCTCTAACTTCATTATTGCCCACATTTTCTCTTCAGTTTTCACCATGAAGACTAACATAAAAAATTGAGTCAATAACTCTGAAGGTGTGTAGATTTTATCCCACATTTCCCTTACTACTCTTTTATTTTTCTTTCCAATATTTTTTCTCTATTTGAAGTTTTGCATTACTTGTTAATGAAAGAATAGTTTCTTTCTTCTGAAGTTTTCATATGAAGTTGTTAAAACAACTGAAATCAGACTGCCTGATCTTCAGTATTCTTCTCTGTAAAAAGAGGATTATAAAACAATAATAGTTCTAATTTAATAATAGTACTTCTAATTTTTCCTATAGGGTTACTTATAGGATTATTGTGATGAATAAATTTGATGATTCACATAGAGGGCTTAATGTGGTTATTGGCATACAAAAGTCTTGGCTTTTACTAATATGTTATAGATTCACTTACACTTTTAATGTGTCTTTGGATACACCAATAGGTTTGTCTACTACCAAATATTTATAAAGCATTTAATACTAAATTGTGTGCTGAAAAAACAATAACAAGATGAGGTGTCTATTTTTATGAAGCTTATAATCTAATTCAAGAAACAAAATGTAAAAATTTAAAATTTATAAACAAAATGTGGTATATACATACAACGGAATATTATTCAGCCTTAAAAAGGAAAGAAATTATGACACAATGTTACAACATAGATGAAAGTCAATGACATTGTACCAAGTTTAATAAGCCAGTCACCGAAAGACAGACATTGTATGATTCCACTTATATGAGCTACCTAGAGTAGTCAAATTCATAAAGACTGAAAGTGAAATGGTGGTTTGCAGGGGCAGGGGGTAGGGGATACAGAGAGTTAGCATTTAGTGGGTGCAGAGTTTCAGTTTGAAGAGATGAAAAAACTCTGGAGATGGATGGTGGTAATGGTTTCACAAAAATGAATGTACTTAATGCCACTGAAATGTACAATAGAAAATAGTCAGAATGGTAAATTTTATGTTATCTTACCACAATAAACAACCGATTTAAAATTTAAATATTTCTGTAAAGTTAAATTATAGTTTAATTGTCAGACAATTAATATTGTTACAACAATGTAACAAATAAATTATAAATGATCAAATGTCATTTTAATTTTATTTATAAAATGTACCTATTTGTATTTTGAATGAATACTACACTTAGATGGTACAAAAATAAAAGGTACGAAATGATATATACATAAGGAGAAGTAAATCTCCCTTGAGCTACCCAGTTTCCAGAGACAACCCATTACCAGTTACTTATATATCCTACCATAGATAATATAAATATACATATATTTATTGCAATTATTATATACAACATTGTACACACTATCTTGCAACTTTCTCTTTCTTTCTAGTTCCAGTGTCTAGCACAGTGCTTGTGGTCATACAGTGTATACTCAATAAAATTTCCTTAACTGAACTCAATTAGAACTTGGGGGAAAGGGGTGAAGTCATTAATTCATACATTAATTCATTCAACGTGTGTTTATTGAGAGGCTGGTAGATGTAAGGTTATGTGCCAGGCAGTGGGAGTACAACCTAGAAGATAACTCTGGGCCTACTTTTGGTCTAGCAAGAGATGGGGCAACACAAACATGCACTTCTAATTGAGTTGGGGAAGGACTGCAGTGAATCCCAGGTCAGTTTAGATTATTCTATGGATATGGATAAGCAAAGAAAACAGTGGCCTTTTAGTTAGAGGAAATTGTATTAGGAAAGGTACTTACTAAATAAAGTAATTGCCCCAAATCACCGTGAAACCCAAAATCTGGCATAAAACTCATGATTTCTGACTCCTATTTATGGCCTGTTTTCTCCACTTTTTAAAGTGTAGATGTTCTTCTGATAAATAGAAGGCCAAATAGAGTGTCTTGGGTAAAGAATAATAAAGTGAGATAACATGTAAAGCAAGCACAGCAGAATCAGTATACTCCATAAAGTTCTCTTTTTCATAGGTGTCTGCTAAACTGCCATCTAACATTAAAAAATAAACCCCAAAAAACCAAAAACCAAAAAGGTTGGTTGGTGTTAAATCGTCTGTATTAAGCTGTTATCTACCAACTATTTTTGAAGAATAGAGATCCTTTTCTACTCTCTCTTCTCATATTAGAGAAGAGACCTCTTTTCAAAAAATGTTGAGGAAATTAGTAAAATGCAGTGAAAAGAGCAGGTTATTTGGGAATCAGACATAACCGGATTCAGCCCAAGGGGCAGTCACTACTAGCAGAGTAATTTTGGGCAAGTGTTTCAACTCCCAATTTCCTCTTTTATAAACCAGGAAAAATAACAAATAAATTGTTAGATAATGTTTATGTAAAGCACTTAACACAGTGCCTGACACATAATAAGAGCTCAGTAGAAGTTACCTATTAAGCGATCCTAAGAACGCGAAACTTGGGGTTGTATTTTTACCCTTGCAACCCATGGAACTCGAAGTGTAATCATTACTAAACAAGTTCAACCAGAACTCGCGTTCTCAGCAATGATGCAATGTGATCTCTCCGGGCCACCGTCGCCGAGCATGCGTAAATGAAAGCGGCGGGACGTGTGTGTCATGGCGCGCTCCATGTAAAGTCTGTGTAGTTTCCGGAGAGCGGAGCGTTGATTCTCTCAGTTTGGACGGGTTTGTTATTTTCCGATTGCTGGTAAGAGTGGCCCGTGGATCAGTGTGGGGCAGAGTGTGGCTGTAGCTCCTTTTATGGCGAAGACTTGTTTGTCCAGTTTCAATCTTTCTCGGGCCGGTTGCTCACTTTGCTTTTCGGTTGAAAGGAGACTTGCCAGCTGGGATCGGGGAATCGGGAAGCATGTTGCGCTCCCAGGGGTGAGAACAGGGTGGTCGGCCTCAGGTGCTGTTGGGCTGTTAGGAATATTTAAGAGACCTCGTTCCTAATGGTCAGTTTAACGTCATTTGTTCTCCCACTTTCTACGTTAGTGAATTTATAGGACCTGACAACGCTTTCTCAATTACCTAGCTTTCACAGAGCAGTATCTTGAGAATTAAATTGAAGTCGGCCAGAGGAGCAGGTGTTTTGCTTTTTTACTTTTCGTTCCCCTTATAAAATCTCTCTGAATCTCGGGGCGACACGTGCAATTCGGGAGGAAGGTGATTTGGATACCTATCTCATTGCCTTATTCTTGTTTTTTAGTTGTTAATCGCACTATGCAGACGTGTTGTAGTGCCGGATAGCATAGCATTTATTACTACGGCCAGATGCTGGATCACAGTCATGGCAGACGTCAATACACCTATCGTAATCAGTAAGACGTTGGTAGTAGTATGGAACATCATTTACACTGCTGTGTAAAGCAGTCTTTTTATGGAGTCTAATTACCTTTTGGTAGTACTGAAAAGTCCTTACAGCGGTTTGGTGAACTTGTTGGGTGCTTGCTTTTTCTAATCAGTTTTTATTTTCCAGACTCGCCTTTCAAGAGGACTTGAGACTAATTACAGATAATCAAGGTACTGATTTTTTTTTTTAAACCTTTTATGTTTGAGTGGCATGTTAGAATATGCAGAAACGTAGCCTAATTTCTTCGTAATTTGCTACCATCATTTTATGGAAACGCTATGATTTCCACATCACTAAATCCAAGAGACATTGTAATTTAATTTACTTAACCTTTTCTTTTCATTCATCTGCACTACGTTCACCTCCTTGACATGCCCTCTTCCTTTGCCTTCTGTAGCCCACTGATTTTCTCCTCTGGTGGCTGCTTCTTGGTCTCCTCTGTAGCTTGGTTCTCCTCTACTTGGCAGTTAAGTTTGGAGTTCCTCAAGGCTTGGTTCTGTACCCAGTCCTCTTCTAACTGTTCTCTTTCTCTTTTTCTCTTGGTGATCTAATTCACATGCTTTTCAACAGTTACTGTCTGTTGTTTTGGTTCTAGCCATTCTAGTTGGTTTGAAGTGGTCTATCATTGTGGTTTTGATTTGTATTTCTCTGGTGGCTAATCGTGTTGACATCTTTTCATGTGCTTATCATCCATTTGTATATCTTCTTTGGAGATGTCTATCAAATCCATTGCCCATATTTTAAATTGCGTTGTCTTTTTATTGAGTTTTAAGTGTTCTTTATATATTCTTACACTAGACTCTCATTAGATATATGATTGCCAGTATTTTCTCCCATTGTATGGGTTATCTTTTCATTTTCTTGATGGTGTCCTTTGAAGTGTAAAGTTTTAAATTTTGATGATGTCTAATCTTTGTTGTTGCTTGTGCTTTTGGTATAACTAAAACCAGTGCTTACTCTATTGTCATGAACATTAACACCTGTTTTCTTCTAAGAGTTTCATAGTGATAACTCGTGAATTTAGGTCAGTAATCTATTTTGAGTGTATTTTTGTATATTATGTGAGATAGGGCTCCAACTTCATTCTTGGCATGTGGCTATCTAGTTTTTCCAGAAACATTTGTTGAAAAGACTATTCTTTCCCTATTGAGTTATCTTGGAACCCTTGTTGAAAATCAGCTGATGAGGTACTGTATTTTTTTTTCTTTTTGGCGACTGGCTCGTATGGGGATCCGAACCCTTAACTTTGGTGTTATAACATTGTGCTCTAACCAACTAAGCTAACTGGCCAACGCAGTAATGTACTTTTGACACGGATTCTAGATGATTTTTGTGAAAGAATAACTTTAGGACAGTAATTCTCAAATTTTAATGCATAACAAAATCACCTGGAGGGCTTGTGAAAGATTGCTGGGCTTTAGTCTGAATATCTGATTGAGTACATGTGGAGTGGAGGCCCATGAATATTCATTTTTAACAAGTCTTCCATGATGCTAATTCTGGTTTGGGAACCACACTGGGAGAACTAATATAGGGCATCAGTTTGCAAATGTAGCTACATACATGAGAATTAACAGAAAGTTTTAATAAAAAATAGATACCCCAGCTCCGTTCCCAGAGATTGATTTAACTGGCCTGAGGCTCAGTTGCTGGTAATTTTCAAAAGCTCCTCAGGTGAACAGTCGTGAACACTCAGGCTTGAGAATCACTGCTGTAGGAGAATAGTGATTCTTAATCAGGAATGTTTAGTAGAATCACCTGGGCAATTCTTATGTTCACATGGCTCAGTTCTGCTCTTGGAGTTTCTAATTCAGAATGGAACTTGGGTATTTGATATTATAAAAGTTCCCCTAATAATTCACCTATGTAAGTACCAATACTCTGATATTACATCCTCTTCTCTTTTCATCTTTTTCAGTAGTTCCCTTTTTACTGATTCTGTTTTTATTCCCTTTACCAAACTTAATTTCCTTTACCTTTGAAAATAAAATTTTATGATTCCTGTTGCTCCATTTAACTATTATCTTGCTTTCCTTGGTTCTCAAACTTTCATTTCCATATTCCTCATTTAAAAATTTCTGCAGGCTAAACAATTTTCTCTACCAGGTTGTTCAAATTATAAGCTTTAGCTTATTCATAGTAATGAGTGAGATTGTTTATTGTGTATGATAAGCAGCCAGGTGTAGGAACCTCTGCATTATATTACATTTATCTCCTTTGTCTCTCTGGAGTGAATTTCTAGAAATGGAATTGCTGGGTCAAAGAATATTCATGTTTTAAAGTTTGATATATGTTGCCAGGTTGCCCTCTAGAAAGGGTATACCAGTTTTACTATGCTTTCAGCCAGCAGTAGGGTTTTTGTCTTTTGTCAGTGAGGTAGATGAAGCATAAGTCATTGTTTCAATACTTGCTTTAGTGTGGTTGAGCATTCTTTCCTATTTTTATTGGCTGTTTGTATTTCTTAAGTAAATTGTCTTTTTTTTTTTTTTTTGTCTTTTCTCTTTTTGTTCCGTGTCCGGCAACGGATCGCAACCCTCAGTGTTGCCCCCGTACCGGACCAGCCTTTACCCATTATTTTCTGGGATGTCTTTGCTTCATGTCACATTAGACTCTTTCATTGTTTGTGCTTTGCCAGTGAGGCAGAGCCATAGTGGGCAGAGCATGGTATTAAGAGGAGGCCTCGGTTCTCATTCTAGCTCCATCAGTGTACAAATCTTTAAGCTTCTCTGAACTCTGGTTCTGTAAAATAAGGAGCATAGCAATGTCCCTTACTTCCCTAATTCTGTAATGATATGGTATGTCTACTGCGGTGGACTCCGTTCATCCCCATTTTTCCATTCTAGTTCCATTCAGTGAATCCATATACAATTGGGTATGGGGTGTAGAAGTTGTGTAATAAAAAAAAAAGGCTTTTAATATGTCCTTCAGTTATTTATAATTCTTTACTAGTTCCTTAGTAACATTCAAAGGCACTACCTGGTCTTACCCTTTCTCACTTAATTATTTCAGAGAACAATCTTGATAGAAACCCTAGGGGTTAGGCATTTACTTCAATTTCCCACCCAGTGTAAGAATTTCCTCCTGTGTTATAGAAAAACTAGCTAAATTCAACTTAAACAAGCAATGTTCATTCATTTCGTCAATAAATATTGTGTGCCTGGTAAGTGCTAGGCATTTATTAGAGGTGTTGTATAGAGATAGTGGTAAAAAAGAGATGAAACTTTTCTGCTTATGGAGCTTATATTGTAAAGAGAAAGACATATGCAATAACATATATGGTGTCAGGTAGGTAAGTGCCATGAAGAAAAATGAAGCATAAAGCATGTGTGGGTTAGTGAGAGTGTATGGGGATGCTTGGGCAGTGTGGTTATTTTAGGCAAAGTGGTTAGGAAAGGCCTTGGCTAAGGAGTTGTCATTTGAGTGGAGAAGTTAGTAGCAAGCCATACAAATACCTGGGGACTGTTGTTCTAGCCGAGGGATAGCAAGAGTGAAGGCCGCTGAATGAGAAAGTAGTTTGGCATACTTAGAATATCTAAAAGGTCATACAGTTTAGACAGAGTGGAAGGTGGCGGAAGGAGTAGCCAGACCCATATCTGGTTAGATTGTGTAGTCTAAAGTAAAAAATATTTACTGAGAACCTGCTAGGGCTAGTCATAAATCCAGGCACCGGGGTAAAGCAGTGAACCAAGCTCATACAAACCTTTATCCTCATGGAGAATATATTCTAGTAGAAAGACACAGTAAAAAAAAAAATTAAAATATACGAGCAGGTGATGAAGTGCTGTGGTTAAAAAAAAAAACAGGCAAGGAAGGGGGATAAGAAGTGTATGTGTATATGTGGTGAGGTGGGGTTGCTCAGAAAGGCCTCATTGGTGACATTAGGGCAGAGTGCAGAAGGGCTTCAGTGAGCCATTCAGGTATCTTGAGTCAGAGCATTCCATGCAAGAATAAGACTGAAATGAGTGTGTACCTGGTGGGTGTGAACTAGCAAGGAAGTGTGTGTGGCTGAGAGAGTGAGACAGGAGAGTGGTAGGAAATGATCAGAGAGGTAACAGGAAGCTGATGTATATGTCCTCTGTGGTGATTTTGCCTTTTTACTCTTTTTACTTTTCATTGGAAGGGTTTGATCAGAAGCTTGAGATGAACTAAGGTTTTAAAGAGATGCTTGACTTTTGTGCTGAAAATATTTTTGGGGAATTAAGAGTAGAAACTGGACTCAGTCTTGCAATAATCCAGGCAAGATATGATGTTTGTTTGGATCAAAAATGTTAACAGTGGGTATGCTCACAAATAGATTCTGAATATATTTTGAAGATAGAGCCCACAAGATTTTGTTGGTGGATTTGGATATAGGGTGAAGGAAAGGGAGGAGTCAGGGATAATTTCAGGATTTTTGGCCTGAGCAGGTGGAGGGTTGGGATTGCCTTTAAATGACATGGGCAAAGCTGTGAGAGGATCTGGTGAATGGGGAGATCAGGAGTTCTGTTTTTCATATGTTAAGTTTGACATAATTATTAGACATTGAAGCAGGGGTGTTGAATAAGCATTTGGACATCTGAGTCTGAAGTTCAGGGGGGAGGAGTGGGGCTGGTTATATAAGCATATAGTTGGTATTTCAAGGCCGTGGGACTGGGGAGTGCCTGTAACTGGAGAAGAGAAGAGTTCCTGTAATGGAGCCATGGTGGCATTCCAGCGTTGAGACGTTGGAGAGATGAGGAGGAAGGAGCAAAGGAGATTTGAAGAGTGGCTAATGTGGTAGGAGAGGGTGGCATCCCAGGAGTCAGTGAAGAAAATGCCTTAGCGGGGGAATGGTCAGTAGTGTCAAATGCTGCAGATGGGGTCTCAAGATGACTGAGAATTGATCATTGCAGGTATGGTTGGAAGTCACTGAAATCATAACAGGCAATTTTGGTGGAGTGGTGAAGTGAAAGCCTGGTTCTTGAGACGTGGGAGGGGGAAATTAGATACATGGAGTATAGACAGCTCTTACAAGGAGCATTTCTTTAAAGGAGAGAAATGTAGTGGAGATAATAAGAGGAGGAGGAGGGTAAAGACACAGGTATTTGTTTTTCTTTTTGTCTTTTAAATGGGAGAAATAAAAGCATGTTTATTTCCAGGTAGCAGTGATTCAATAGAGAGGGGATTAGTGATGATGCAAGAAAAGGGAGCGTTGCAGGAATTCTGTGCTTGAGTTGGTCAGAGTAGGAGAGTAGTTGGCTAGAGCAGAAGTTGCTCTTAGGGAGGTGGAAGGCAGATTGGAAGGTAGAGTACAGGGGCAAAGAACCATTTCCCAAAGTCATCCCTCTGTCTAGTATATGGGAGGGGACTTAAGGAGCTGCATCATTCAGGCCTTCTGTTCACAGTTCCATCTTTCCTCAGTAAGAGGAAATCTGTGAGAAACATATTTTCAGAAAATTCCTAAGGTAAATGAGTTTCAAGTTTCTTTACTGCAGTTCTTCAGTCTTTAATAATGTGCGCTGTGAATCTGTAAGAAGGCTGAATTTCCTAAATTTGACTACTGAATCATTTTTTCACTGATAATATCTCAAATAAATATAGAATCAATTTTGGAAAGACTATCCTGGTTCATTTCGCCTTATCTAGGTTGCTGAGATGGCCAAGGCTCTTGTTTGCAAGAGCAGAAAACCCAATTCAAACTAATTCAAGCTGCAGAGGGAGTTTACTGGCTCACATGACTGGGCCACACAGGGCTGCATTTGGCTTCAGGCATTGGTTAGATCCAGGGGCTCAAATAATGTCAGTATGGCTTTTTATCTCTCTGGCTCTTAGTAGGCTTCATTCCTTAGGTAGGCTTCCTCCCTGTGGCAGGCAAGATGGCCCCTAGCATCCCCAAGTTGACATCCTCCCAACTTAGCCACTTCAATGAAAAGAGAAGCTATCTCTTCTGTTAACTCTGGTGTAGAAGTCATCACAATGATTGGCTGGGCTTGTCATGACCAGACCTGAACCAATCATTGTGGCCAGGAGGATGGGTTATTCTGTCACATTTGGGTCATGTGCCCCATTCTTGTGTCTAGGGAAGGGGAGGCCTGTGATTGACAGTCCCACCATGACCATGTGAGATGCATGTTAACTATAATTTAACTAGTCCTTTGTTCATTGACATTTGGGTTATTTTTAATCTTTTACTGTTACTAATAGTGTAAAGCTAGCTGAGATTTAAACACAGTTTTGTCTGATTTACAGTGTGTAAATTGTCATAGTTGCAAATAATGTGTTGCAGAGTAAAGGGAACAAAAATAAGATTGGCTGTAAGCCACTCTGTTGATTGAACGATGTGAATGGAAAGATGGGACAGTGTAAAGCTAGCTGAGATTTAAACACAGTTTTGTCTGATTTACAGCGTGTAAATTGTCATAGTTGCAAATAATGTGTTGCAGAGTAAAGGGCACAAAAATAAGATTGGCTGTAAGCCACTCTGTTGATTGAACGATGTGAATGGAAAGATGGGAATTCAGCAAATGAAGAGAAGGAAAGTTCATCAGAAAGGTTTGAGGTCAACTGGGGAAATATAAGATCCTTCACACTGTGGTTCAGTTGCCTTGGATGAGGAACAGTGGTCATTGAGTATACATATGTTGAGTAGGCAGTGGAGTACTGCACAGTGTATGGGCTTGGACTCATCTGGCATGGGATCCTTGTTTAGCTTCTTTGGGCAAGTTATCTTTTCTGTGTTTCAGTTTGCTCCTCTTTAAAGTGAGGATAATAATACGACATACCTCACAGAGTTGTTTTGAATGATTGATGAGATGACCCTGTGAAGGACTTGCTGTGTGTCTGGATATAGTATTAGTAGTAATATCATCAGTAAGTGTACACAAGTACTTTTTCTTTTTTTCCAGATAGGTTTTTTTTTCCCTTAATATTTTAACATAATTATAGATTCACCTGCAGTTGTAAAAATTATGCAGAGATCCTTGTACACTTTATCCTTTATCACTTTTGCAATGATAACATCTTACAAAACTATCATACAGTACAATATCACACCCAGGATATTAACAGTGACGTAATCAAGATACAGAACATTTTCATCACCACGAGGATCCCTCATGTTGCTCTTCTATAACCACACCCACCTTCCTTCCACCCCATCCTCTCCTTAATCCCTGACAACCACTGTTCTCGTCTCCATTTCTACAATTTTGTCATCTCAAGTATGTTAAGTAAATGTAATTCTACAGTAGGTAACCTTTTCGGATTGCCTTTATTCACTCAGCGTAATTCTCTGGAGATCATCCAGTTTGTTGCATGTATCAATAGTACCCTCTTTTTTATTTCTGAGAAGTGTTCCATGGTATGGATGTACCACAGTTTGTTTGTTCACCTTTTGAAGGTCATCTAGGTTTCTGCATTTTGGTGATTACAAAGAAAGCTGCTATAAACATTTGTGTACAAGTTTTTGTGTGAATATAAGTCTTTATTTCTCTTGGATAAACACCCGGGTGTACAATTGTTGGGTTGCATCACAGTTGCATGATTAGTTTTTAAAGAAAATGCCAAACTGTTTTCCAGAGTGGCTGTACCATTTTACATTCCTACTAGGACTGTATGAATGATCCAGTTTCTTTGCATCCTTTCCAGAGTTTGGTGTTTTCATTTTTTAAAATTTTAGGCATTCTGATAGGTGTATAGTGATATCTCATTGTGGTTTTAGTTTCCATTTCTCTGGTGGCTAATGCTGAGTATCTTTTCATGTGATATTTGCCCTCTGTATATCCTCTTGGGTGAAATGTCTCTTTTTCTCTCACTCTGTAGCTTGATTTTTGTCATCTTCTCAAAAGGCTCTTTCTCAAAGCAAAAGTTTTACTTTTTGATGACATCTGACTTATCAGTTTTTCTTTTTTATGGGTCATGCTTTTGGTGTCACGTCTGAGAACTCTTCGTCTAGCCCTAATCCAGAAGATTCTGTCTTACAATTTTTTTCTGAAAGTTTTATAGTTTTGTGTTTTATATTTAAGTCTGTGACCCATGTTGAATTAATTTTTGGATAATGTAAAGGTTCACTTTTTGCTTATAAATATCCAATTGCTCCAGCACTAGTTGTTGGAAAAGGGTATCTTTCTTCCGTTGAATTGCTTTTGCACTTTTGTGAAAAATCAATTGGGCATATTTGTGTGGGTCTACTCTGAGTTCTCCGTTCTGTTCTGTTGATCTATGTTTCTTTCCCTCCACCAATACCACAGTCTTGATTACTATAGCTATCTAATAAGTCTTAAGGTTGGGCAGAGCAATTCTTCCTACTTTGTTCCTTTTTTTTTTTTTTCAAAATTGTTTTATATATATTCCTTTAACTTTCCATTTGAATTTTAGAACAGTCTTGTCTATGTCTACACAAAGTCTTGCTGGAGTTTTGATAGGAATTATTTTAAGCTTGTGTATCAGTTTGGTCTCCGCTGATAACTGCAGGGCTTTGTTACTGGTCCATTGGCTGGTTTGAATATCTGGGGTCCCTACTTGACTTTCTCTGATTCTGCCCTGGTGGGGTGTGTTGGGGCACCTCATTATAAGATGGAAATCAAGGCTCCCCACTTGGCCTTTGTGGCTTGCCGGTGTGTGTGTGTGTGTGTGTGTGTGTGTGTGTATTTAGCTTGAGTAGAATGGTTATTATCTAAAAGTTTTCTGTTTTGCTAGGCTGCTCTTTTTCTAGTTCTTTGATGAGAAAGCAGGCTTTTGTTGGGGGCTTTTATTGTCTGCATCTGTTGGCATTTCTGGATTGCTGGCTTCCTCATCTCCAAGTCTGGGATATAGGAGGCAAAAGAAAACCTCAAGAACTCACCGTCATGTTCCTTGGGTCCTGAGATCCCTAGCCAGTTTACCACCTTTACTCCATCTTTCAAACTCGTCTTATATTTGTTTTATATGTAATGTCCAGAGTTTTAGTTGTACTTTGAGGAAAGGATAGGGACAAGTATGTCTACTCTATCTTCCTGGAAGCTATGTCCACATCTTTTTTTAATTATAAAAATTTTGAACATTCAGGAAAGTAGAATAGGATAATGAACACCAACATACCTATTTCCTTGAGTTGTGTTTTTCCATATGTTTTAATCTATTTTTTCTGAAGTTTTATAAAGTAATTTATAGACATAATGACATTTCACCTCCATTCAATATACATCTCCAAAAAAATTTTCGAACATAAGGACAATACTTTATATTTAATGATTTATAGTAATATCCTCATATTAATCTAACATCCAGTTCATATTTTGATTTCCCTAGTTGTTCCCAAATGTTTTATAGCTGATTGAAAAAAGTAAGATCTAATCAAAAATGTGAATTGCATTTAGTTGTTAGGCTTTTAAGTTTCCTTTAATCTTGAACGGTTCCTCTCTTGCTTTTTTCTCTGTGATAATGATTTATTGAAGAAATAGTTCTAGTTGAACCTTGGAATGTCCCGCCATCAGTAGGGTTTGTCCGACTGTTTCCTTGCGTTTCTCTATTTCCTCCATTTTCTGTAAACTTGAAGTTAGATCTAAAGGCTTGATGAGATTCAAGTATGAGAATATTTCATAGATGATGCTATGTTAAGCAGATTTTCTGGGACTCATAAGCTTGTTTTATTTACTGTGATAGAGAAGATGCCTTCTGCATCCTGTGATACACTACTGGATGACATAGAAGATATTGTGTCACAGGAAGATTCAAAACCACAAGATAGGCATTTTGCAAGAAAGCATGTTGTTCCAAAGGTGCGAAGACGAAATACCCAAAAATATTTGCAAGAGGAAAACAGTCCGCCAAGTGATAGGTAAGATTTATTTTCTTGAAATTATATTTGGTCTCATTCCAGGGGAGAAGCTGGCATGACTGGCCCATGTGATATACACATTATCTTCTTTAGAATCTTGAACTTTTAGTAGAAAATACATACAGTAGTTTTTTTTATTTGAATGTTTTCAAACTTGATAACTGGTTAAAAAAGAAAAAGATATCAAATTGGATGTTCCTTGAAGCCAGGGCTTAGGACAGTAGTGATCTCTTTGATATTACTGTAGTTAGTATGCAATTTTGTGTTAGTTCCAAATTAAAATTTTTTACTGGAATTTGTGATTCTTATGAGGTAGTAGTGTTTTGGACATTTGGTTTTTCTTAGCAAATTTGCAAATACTTATGGATCAGCTTGGACACAAAGAAATTATTCCCATTTACACTAGTATAGTAGGTCGCTAGTCAGTGAAATTCTTTTTTTTTTTTTTTAAGATGACCGGTAAGGGGATCTTAACCCTTGACTTGGTGTTGTCAGCACCACGCTCAGCCAGTGAGCGAACCAGCCATCCCTATATGGGATCCGAACCCGTGGCCTTGGTGTTATCAGCACCACACTCTCCCGAGTGAGCTACAGGCTGGCCCTAGTCAGTGAGATTCTAATACAACCTAGCCAGAAGGGATTATGCAGTTGTATAGTTTTAATAAACCTATATTTAGTAAATTGTTGAAAGTTTTAATACACCTGATTATTTTATTTGTAATATTAAGCTTTTAAAATCTATCAATTTAAAATTTGCTTATATTTTAATGACTGAAGTTTATCATATTTGTCCTGAACATGTCCTTAAGATAATTTCTGTTTACTTATAAATTATTGGGGCAATCCAAGTTGAAAGTCCCTTTTTTTGTCTTCCTAAAAATATTAAATTTTTTAGAAATCTTTTTATAGAATGAGTACTTTAATAATGCCATAGGATGACAATTTTAAATTTTAAGTTATTTTTATCTGTAAGTTTTAAAGTAGGTAAAGATTAAAACTACTACATTTATGTTTATAAATAGATACACTTAATTTTTCTTTATTTGCTAGAATCATTTTCTTTGCTATTGTTTATTTGTATGCACTTTTCTAGGAGTTGAACTTAATAGTACTATGTTAGTAGTATGAGTTTAAAATACAATTCAGAGGAAAAGGAGTTTTTTTTTATGTAGAGTCTTAGAATTCTGTGGTTATTTAATCTTGATTTTAGATTTTTGATGTAACATCAGATTTAGAATTAACATGGTGAATTTAATGAATTGCTTGAAAATCTATAGCAGTGAGTTTGTTTTTTTGCATAATGTTCCTGAAATCATCTAGAAATTTTTATTTTAAAAATCACTTAAGGAGACTTTTTTTATTGTTCAACAGTACTATTCCAGGCATACAGAAAATTTGGATACGAACATGGGGTTGTTCTCATAATAATTCAGATGGAGAATATATGGCTGGACAGCTAGCTGCTTATGGCTATAAAATTACAGGTAATGAAATCTGTAATGTATTTTATTGATAAAAGTTTTCAGATTAAGTTTTATAGAGATAGGTATTCCAGCTTCAGTTATTAAAGAATATTTTAGCATAACTTAATACCTAGAAAACTATGTATATCATAATTTTAAAAAGCTTTTTTTTTTTTTTTTTTTGTCTTTTTGTCTTTTTTCCGTGTCCGGCAACGGATCGCAACCCTCAGTGTTGCCCCCGTACTGGACCGGGGACCGGCAACGGGATTGCAACCCTCGGTGTTGCTCCCGCGCCTCGCTCAGCCAGTGAGCGGGAACCGGTCTGTATGTGGGATCCGAACCCTCGGGCGGGAGCGCCACTGCGCTTCCCAAGCGGCGCACTTATCCAGTGCGCCACCGGGCCGGCCCCTAAAAAGCTTTAAAAGACCTTTTATTTTGGAATAAGTTTAGACTTTCAGAAAAATAGTAAAATTAGAGTTTATGTATGCCCTCTACCCAGCTTCCCCTAATATTAACAACTTACATAACTGTAATATAATTAGTAAACCAATGTATTTACATTAGTGCAGTACTGTTATGTAAACTATACATCTTATTTGAATTTTACCAGTTTTTCCATTAATTTCCTTTTTCTGTTCCAAGTTGCAGTCTAGTGTCCCACCTTACAGTTAATTGTCATGTCTCCTTAGTCTCCTTCAATCTATGACAGTTCCTTAATATTTTCTCCTATTACCTTGACACTTCTGAAGAAAACCAATTTGTTATTTTGTACAACATCCCTCAACTTGGGTTTGTGTGATGATTTTTCATGATTAGAATGAGGTTATGCATTTTTGGCAAGGAGAACACAGTGTGTACATCCTTTTCAGTGCATCATCATAGGGTCATCCTGTCAATATATCGTCTTATTGGTGCACTAACCCACATATGCCAGGTTTCTCCCCAGTAAAGTTACTATTTTTCTCATTGTAACTAATAAATATTCTGTTTCTCTTCAACCTTTTACCTACTTATTTTAGTATCCATTGGTGGGTCTTGTCTGTCACAGTTATTATGGTGGTATTTGCTTAATGATGATTTTCTGCTTTCTTCACATTTATTAGTTGGGAGTCCTCTAAGGAAGAGCTGTCCTTTCTTCCCCATTTTAGTTATTTACAACAGTACAGATTCATGAATATTTGTTTTATTCTATGGGATATAATCTGACACTATCTTTTTTTTTTTTTTTTTTGGTAGCTGGCTGGCATAGGGATTGAACCCTGGAACTTATCAGCACCACACTCTAACCAACTGAACTAACTGGTCAGCACCTCATTTATTTTGCAGCTTATATTGTTCCAGCTTTGGCCATTAGGACCTTGTTCAGGCTGGCTCCTGTGTCTTTTTTTTTTTTTTTTGTCCTTTTTTGGGACCGGCCACACCGCGCTCAGCCTGTGAGCGCACTGGCCATCACTATATAGGATCTGAACCCGCGGCGGGAGTGCCGCTGTGCTCCCAGCGCCGCACTCTCCCGAGCGCGCCACCGGCTCGACCCTCTTGTGTCTTTTTAACATGCCCTCATCCTGATTTGAGCACTTCCCTATTTTCTGGCCCCACAAGATTTTCTAATCTTATCTTATATTTTCCCTTCCCCAGCCTTGGAAGCAACCACTTTTCCAAGGAGTACCGATTCCTTTCTTTAAGAGAAGGGCGTTTAGGGCCGAGCCCGTGGTGCACTCGGAAGAGTGCGGTTCTGGGAGCGCAGCAGCGCTCCCGCTGCGGGTTCCGATCCTATATAGGGATGGCCGGTGAGCTCACAGTGCTCACTGGCTGAGTGCAGTGTGGCTGGTCTCAAAAAAAAAAAAAAAGGACAAAAAAACAAAAACAAAAACAAAAAAACAAGAGAAGGGCGTTTAGAAACACATCTGGGTAGTAGGTGTGCTGCTCATTGCCATGTGAGGCGTCAGGGCTTCTGGATCCACTCAGTGGACAGAACTATGAAATAGGTATACTAACTGAGACACACCCACACCCACACACCCACACACCCACATCCACATCTATATCTATTCTGGGTCCACTCAGTGGACAGAACTATGAAATAGGTATACTAACTGAGACACACCCACACCCACACACCCACACACCCACATCCACATCTATATCTATTCTGGGTCCACTCAGTGGACAGAACTATGAAATAGGTATACTAACTGAGACACACCCACACCCAGATCTTAGATATATGATATAAATGATTTCTGGATTACCTGTGTCAGTAGTTTCTTTCATTATTATGGCATAGTGGGAGTTTATAAATTACTATTAATAATTTATGTTTGTTAATCAAATATAGACCTAAAATATTTAATGTATAATGTTTAAAATCGGTATAAAATAAAGATTATAATATGTGCAGAGATTATTGGAAACAGTGTATGGGGAAATTAAATCAAAGTTAATTCTCAGTTGCCATTTGTAGGTATTTTTACTATTTGGGGAAGAAAGATAATGAGGGTATATATTTGAAATTGCTGCTTTTAACTGTGTTAATCCAAGATATAATTATTTCATAGTAAAACATCATGAAGCCTGGGAGCAGTTAGCTGTTTATTGCCTTTTTTTCAAACCCTTTTTATTTATTTATTTATTAATTTTTTATTCAATCATAATTGATTTTACATATTTTGGGGGTTTAATGTTGACATATGTTGATCAAATCGATATTACTAGTATGTATATTGTTATAAATTGTACTTATTCTTTATGCCCCTTGTCTAATCTCTTCCTATCACCCCTCCCACCTCCTCCCCCCACTCATAACCCTAGATTTCTTCTCTCCCTCTGAAAGAGTAATGGTTATTCTGTTGATTTGTTGCCTAGATGATCTGTCCAATGCTGGAAGGTGTGTTCAGGTCCCCCAATGTTATCATAGAGCAGATGCTTCTTCTGTCACTCTGGAATGGGCTTTGTGGAGAGAGACATCTTCTTCTTTTCTTTGGTCTCTGCTGGTGACTCTTCTTGTGTTAATGCACTCTCGTGGCTGGCAGACCATCTGCGTGGAGGTTGTGACGTCTAGCCACTTTTGCGGCACATGTGGTTACTGTGGTGGCTGTGGCGGAACATGGAGGTGATGTTTTTGGCATGCTCCTTGGTGCTGGTGGTGTGCCTGGTTGTGGGTGGGGGATCAGGTCCCCAGCTCGATGCCCCAGGCCCCTGAGTGGGTCCCCAAGGTGCTGGCGGTATGCCTGGTTGTGGGTAGGGGGTCTGGTCTGCATCTTGATGCCCTGGGCCCCCGGGCAGATCCTTGAGGTGCTGGCAGTGTGCCTGGTTGTGGGCAGGGGTTCAAACCCTTTTGGTTTTGAGAAAAAGCTTTTAAATAAACTATTGTAAAATAGTGCCTGCCTGCTTCTCATTTCAAAGAATGAAACCTACTGAGGAGAAAAGATGTTAGTCCTAAAACTCAGAACAATTAATTGTATCATGGATACATGTATGCATGATATAATTAGTATCATGAGAAGCAATTAAACTTTTCCTGTGGGTACCATGGCTTTTTAAAGAAGTATAATTTTAATGCATAAATTCTGTGAATGTGTTCTTCTTCAAGTAAGCAGTTTTTGTAGAATAAACCTTTTTTCTGATAATGTTTTGATTGTTGTTTTGGATTACTTCTGTTGGAGATGTTGGTAAATTATTTTCAGTGTCTTCATTGGTGGCAGATCTTTGTGTCTTGAGAGTACATTTAGTGTTAGAAATGGTCACAGGTCATTGGAGGCCAAATTTGGTGAATAAGGTATGTGATAAGATGCTGAACGATGTTAGTTAAAAATACAGCATTTCCGTTTATCTTAATTGATTCTGAAAACAGTTCTAAAAGTGTTCTAGAAGAGTAGCAGTGATTCTTATACTTTTTGGGTCTTTTCAGAACCTCACACTCTTATACGATCTTATCAATTCATAACCACTCCCTAGCCCAATAGTGGATTAAAGGTATGGTCTTTCAAGGTGACTATGTTAGGGACAGGCCTCATTTAGGTATAGCTGTGTTATGTTTAGTTTGTAGCCATGTGAAGGAATATGGCATGTGCTTTTTAGTTAGTGGAAAAAGTTCATTCCAAGGCTATTGACTGAGGCTCTAGTTCATAAACACGTGAGAATAGTAAGTGTTTTGTGTATGAAGTATTTGTGGACAAGCTTACCTACATCAGAATAGAGTGTTTAGCTTGGGTGCCCACCGTTTCAGAGAAGTCATTTAAAAATTGCAGGGCTGTTAAAGTTCTTGATAGTTTCTTGGTTTATTTATATATAGTTTATTCATTCAGCAAAAATTCTCTGAACATGATATGTTTTACAGGGTCAAGGGCTAGGAGGTGTGAAGACATGAAAATGAGCTAGCCATGAATTCTAGCTTATTCTTTTTTGAGAAAGGAAAAGCCTTATAGTCTGTGTTAAATCTTGGAAGTTATTTTAGTAAATGCTCAAGTTTATAATGTATTTTCATTTTTTATAATATAGGGTAAGCAGAACCAGCTTTTATTGAAACAGCTTCTATAATTTGTATTTTAGAAAAGATTTGTGATAATATCAAGTCAGAATATAGCATCTTTTGTTTGAGTTAGGGAAATTAATTTCTCCTTGCAGAAACAAACACTGATTTATTTGGTATAGGAGACAGTATCACAATTGAATGACTAAGGTGTTTAGCGTATTTCTTGGTTCCGTCCATTTACTTTGAAGTAGCTTTAAATTTTGTGACTGAGGTCAATGGGATACATTAGATTGATATATGGAATTGTTTGCATAAGGGATACATAGACGGGGTACTGATCAGAAGAATTTGAAGGATGTTAAAGCTACACTTTTGTATTTGGACTTAGATTTAGGAAAATCATGCTTATTGGACATAATTTAAGTATGAGTACATACAGTTTCTGTTTTTTAAAAAACTTTGCTTTTCATGTTTTTTCCTTAAGAACTGATGACCATGACGTTTCACATTACTGTCTTGATTTTACCCGTATAATAATGTATAGTAAGAT